AATTAATAGATATTGCGTACTTATCCAACGTGAATCTTTTTTACTTATACATAAGCGCTTTTTTTTTATAGCTTATAACCATAAGAATAAATTTAGGTCTAATAATCTTAGTTTTTTTTTCTTATGGTACCACTTCTAGATTGAGCACTGGCTGAAAATGAATGATTTCTCTGATAAAAAATCATAGAGTAACATTACTCTATGGTCATAGTACAGAGGGCCTACCATGAAATGTTTTCCGAAATTTCGGAGCCAAACGAAACACAAATTTGATGTTAAAATTACATAATACATGCCGTTTGGAAATATTAAAAATGTTGAAATATTGTTCCTTTTGATTTCTATGATAGGATGTATGACGAATGAAATGTTAAACTACATTTATTGGTCCGATTTTGGTATAAACAAAAACACGAAATTGAGTCCGAAATTTCGGAATTTCACTTCATGGTAGACCCGCTGACTTGTTACGAATGTCGGATGTGAATTTTAATGGATTAATATAAATAAATATCTTTTAGTCATGTATGTGTATTTTTTTCTTTCTTTTTTATTAAATTTTTTTCTCCAATGAATGACAAAAGGGTTTTCTAAAGCTACCCGCTAATGCATATTTTTCTGATTCTGATTAATGAAAATGGAATGGTAACCTCTCTTCGCTAGGTTACCATTCCATGGTGCCCCGCTACGATATCGCTCTCTATAGAGAGCGATATCCTAGCGGGGCACCAGTGAGAGAAGATTGATGAGAATGAAAAGGCAGGTCAGTTAGTCCATCGTGACGATTTCCACAAAAGTTAATTACGATGGTTTTTAGGGGGAATCGCATGGAGGTCAACCTAATAGGGTTTAGTGCTACCAATGAAGCTGTTAGATCCCATTACTGTTCCTTTTACCCATTACTTTTCCCCCATTTGTGAACGTATGTGCACAATACTAGCTTATTATCAATTTTAGACTGATATGTGCCAAAGAGGGCGCCACTGTGTAAAGTTCATAGTTTAATCAGTGGTTATAGGCGGGATAATGAATTATAATTGCTGGCAACTTTTGTAAATAAAAAAAGTGTAGATACAGGTAACTCTGATAAAGATATTATTAAAAAAAAAATTTAGTATCTTCTTTTTTTTTTCATGAAACTAGAAGTTTTATTTCTTAAATATCACTCGTATACAGATATCGTCTAGTTATTTTTTATTTTATTTTTTTCCGTTAATTGACAACTGTTGAACATAAGCCTGCCCCATAAGAGGAGTTTTGCTAGTAGTTATGTTTTGCAGGCCAGTTGGCAACCGCTTGTTAATTAGGATTTTATAATTGATATTATGAATAAGTAAAAAAAATATGTGAACTGGCGCGAAATCGAAAGAAGTTTTTAAAATAATAAACGTATTCCGAATTCAAAATAATTAAAAAGTTGCAAAATGGAAAAGTTTTTATGCAACAGTTTTTATAGCCGGGCTAGTTTATTTATTTTATTTATTCATTAGTACATATGTGTGTACATGGCGGACTTAATGCTAAAAGCATTCTCTCCCAGTCAACCGTAGGGAAGTGTCAGAATACTCGAATGCGGTACTAGTAATTATTGATATACATACATACTAAAATTACATATATAAACGAATAAATATATATGAATAACAAATATACTTACACATATATGACATATACTATATTATACACGAAATTGAGAATAAAGTACTAGTTATATGTATAGAAAATGCTTTGTTGTAAGTCTACTCTATTAGGTGATTGAATTGGATGAGACAGAGAAATGAAACAAGAAAAGAAAATTTCATTTTTATATTAAGACTTAATAATTAGGTTATTACAACTAACTTAAGTTATTAACTTCTGTTACAGTAAAAAAGAAATCTTACAATACTAACAATCAGTAATAATATATTACAACACTGCGCAACGCAATCTCGCGAGTTTACGATAAACTGGCAAAACGTTCACAGTAACACAAATTTTATATTTCGAACTATTATATTCGAAGGTGACTTGTGTATTGTCAAAAATGTATATGGGCACAGCCCTTTGCCTTTCCCATTGAGGTAAACTGGACCAAAATAAAAAAAAAACTACGTTGTTTCGCCAAAAAACCGCAAAATCAAATGTGATAAAACACACATTGAAAATATTTAAATTAAGAGCGCGAAATTATTTCTTTGTTTTTATTTCACAACTATCAATTTTAATGTATTAAATGTATAAAAAAAATTGTGAAATATGGCGACGTAATAATGAATAGTAATAAAAATTGTGTTACTATGAATAGCATTGTGTTAAATAAATTCTACCGGCGTTTTATCAATTTGTAAATGGCGGGAAATACATAGTTATGATACAGATTATAAACGCGCCATTTTCGAATCACCATAGACAATATTATATCATTTTCGCCGGAAACACTAAAGATCCCACAGCCTTTTCACCTACTTTTCGATAAAAAAAGAACAAAAACTTAAGTGAAATGCTTTACCCGTGGCCTACTTAAGTCTTAAATTAATAAATATGTAAACATTTTTTTTTATCATTTTAAATTTATTTCAGTTAAAAGCCATTGTCTATGCGCTAGGTTAAAAAAATATGCACCACAGCATATAAATATTTCTCATAATTTACATTTTATAAAGCGACTTTTTTTAAAGACAACAATGGCTATCGGGAAGAACGAAAAAAGAAAACAATATCGACATAATAAACAATATATTTGATGTTTGTTGTCTTTGAAAAAATTTGCCAAATATGGCTTACCATAGACTTATAGCAGACCTTAAAGATCAGTTCAAAACAAATATAAACACTGACCTTAGTTAACTACAAGTATACTATTTTTCGCTTCCAACTACATAATATAATACAACAGGAAACCGGCACGATAGTGTGTTTGTCAATTATGTATCGCTTATCGATATGTCGATACTTTATCGAGGGTCGATAAAATATTATCGATTTATAAGGGACAAAATCAACGTGCATAAATGAATATTGTAGTTGGAGCTGTGTATAAAAATCTGGCAATATCTACAATTTGTACTTGTTTTGAGAGTAAGTTTTGTTCACGCATCGGAAAAATAGCAGAAAAAAAAAACAGAATTCAAAATTCTATAACAAACTTATCTACTTTTTTTTTTAATATACATAAATAAAACAGCAAGAGCGAATATACTTTACAAATTAAAAGTTAAAATCGATTTATGATTACTTATTGCAACGCGACGGTGTCATAGACACCAATTTTATAGACTATTTTTTTTTTATTTTATATCAGTCATTTCTGTATTATAGTACTAAATAACCATCGACATATATATTTTTTTTAATCGTATGATAAATTAGAAGTGGCTAAGTTTTTTCTTTTTTTAATAAGTACATTTTTTTTTTTGTTTTGTTATGTCAAAGATCACACACGCTGGAAGTGAAATCGTGTTAATAGAAAATTTGTATGCCCCTATTATTTTGACTATTATTATGAAAGCTATGCCCAACAGTGGGATGTTTATAAAATTATTATTGTAATAAAGAGAGAATTATAGAAAATTGACACTTATCGCTTGTTACATGAAATAGGACCTTATGCATTGTTATTTTAATTCAATTTCAAATGCAGACAAATATTTATGTATGTATGAATTTAAACAAATGTATGTATGCCATTAAAAACTATATGTCGATGTTACAAGCGAAAACGCGAGCAGAATTTGATGTTGCGAGACCAATGCCAACTTTACAACTAAGAGACACTAACAAAAATGGAATATTTTTTATTATCACAAATAAATAATGTTAAAACAATTTCGAGACGTGTATATGAAAGAAAAACCGCTAGAAGCACCGTCAGAATTAGACCTGCTATTTGTTTTTTTTAAGAAAGACGGCATGATATACTAGTTAATATTTTTTATACCTTTAAGTTTTTAAACTGGCAACTAATTTGTTTACAAACATATCGTCATAGTCGTAGAATACCGACGGATCTTTATACGTAATATTTGTCAGATCCGTCGGTATTCTACGACTGTGACGATATTAAGAACAGGAAGGCTGTATGGGTTTTGTACCGTTGCCTTTTACCTTGCATAAAAAACAAAATCTCTGCGTTTTTATCCGTCTTTCTTATTAAGTAGGCAGATGGTCTAAACTCTGATATAACATAACCTGACCTGTCAGAGACCATTGAAGACAACAGAGTATATTTTAAAGTTAACCATAGACAATCTTAAAAACCACGCTGTCTATGGAAAACTTTAAAATGAGACCATACGTAAGGGAATCACTGGGAATTCACTACCAAGACAATTGCGAAGTAGATTGTCTGATAAAAATATTAATAAATGTACAAATAGCAGGTATGTGCAGTTAAAAATAAGGTTCATATTTGTTTGACAATATTAATTCGACTTGTTTATTTTTTTGTCAATATTATTAAAAACGGACTATTGGATTACATTTTGGTGTATTAATTAATTTTAAACTTTTATATTTTTAATAATAAATATTTAATTTTATTTTCGGGATTCATTTAATTGGATAGTTTAAATGTCGTTAGTTAAAATATAAGGCAATAAATCAGGTATGCAGGTACAGTTTAAAGATGGGCCTTTTTAAATTCCAAAAATAAATTCAAATATCTTATTATCGGAATTATCTAGGTAACGAATTCGCAGTTTAAAAAAATTCCATAGACAAAAAATTCCCGCCAATTTCATAGCATCATATTAATTTGACAGATTGAGATACTGTCCTGTCTGCATCATAGATTAAGAATACCTACGCTGGCTTTCTCTTTCTACGCCCTGCGATTAAAAAAGGACAGCACTATTCCTATCAGATTGATATGATGGTATAATCGGTGGTCTATGGAAGGTAACATGAGACCATAGATAAAATATAACTATAGATCTTATATATTATTGCGTTGTAGTCTTGTGTGCTCGTATGTTTGCTACCATCTCGGGTATACGGGGGGCGGGGGTCACTGTTCGAAATTCTTCGCCTTTCTGTCCATCTCATCGTCGGATGTCCGGTTCATGGGATGATCTGTGGAAATAAATGAAAATAAGAAATCGCCTATTCTTTAAGTAACCAATGTCTCTGGCACAATGCAAAAGTAAATTAATATTTTTTTTTGTCCTTTCATACTTACTTGTCTCCGATTTTGATAATGCTTTTTTTTATACGACTTAGAATGGCAAATAAGCTGACGGCCCACCTGATGGAAAGTGGTAACCGTCGCCTATAGACATGAGCTGTACAGTGGACATAACAGAGTATACTGTTTCGCCCATGATCCTCTGTACCCTGTAAATTCACTGCCACATCCCACCACAAACCGAAACACAGCCATGCAAACACAACTGCTTCACGGTTGAAACACGACTGGTACAGAGGTACCCAAGCAATCGACTTTTGTACAAAGTCTCCCTCTGGATTATATTAGACAATTTTCCATGGAAAAGCGTATATATCTTTTCAGACATGTCTTTGCGAAGCTTCGCATATTCTAGAGTGGGCAACCAAACAAGTTTGAGATGGGCACGGGCCACTTTCTCCCTCTAAATATTTTCCTCCAATCAAATATAACTGCTTCTACAAGACAATAGGCGTCGCTAGTTGGTGCGCCTTCGCAGGTATACCCACCAGGGTGCTGCGTCATCTTGGGCACCAGAACCACGTTGCCGTCGGCTGCCTGCTGCAGGGAGTACTGAGACGACGACAGCGGCCGCCCCTCGGGGTCACGCAGGTTCTATGACAACGCGATATTATATTGTATTATGGTATTAAACCAGAATTAATTAATTCATTAATTAGTCCATTACCCTAAGGTTGTATTGAAGAGATTGCTCTCAGCAATAAGACCGCCTCACTGTACTCATACCACTGTATCGTTACATTTATTAATTAAATTGTAATTATATATATATATATATATATATATATATATATATATATATATATATATATATATATATATATATATATATATATATATATATATATATATATATATATATATTAACTGCCAAACTCTAAAATCACAAAACTAAATTCCTAATGTTTTTTTTTACAACTTAGAATAGCAAACAAGCTGACGGCCTACCTGACGGAAAGTGGTAACCGTCGCCTATAGACATGAGCAGTATCATGGATATAACAGAGTATACTGTTTCGCCCATGATACCCCCCATGCGTTGCCATTCCTGAGGACTCAGGTGTTATTCCTCTGTACCCAGTAAATTCACGCCATATCGCATCCTTTAAACCAAAACACAGCCATGCAAACACAACTGCTTCACGGTAGAAACACGAATGGGGCAGAGGTGGCCAAGCAAACGACTTTTGTACAAAGTCTCCCTCTGGTCCTCAATATGGGGAGGTGGATATACAGCAGTGGACAGTTGAGGTGATGATGAAGGTGATGACTGGGCGTACTGACCTGGAACACGTGCCTGTAGAGGGCGGCGAAGCGCTCCTTGACCCGCTGCCGCTCGGCCTGCAGCGAGTGGTGGTCGCGCTGCGTCCGCTGCTTGCGGTCGCGCATCGTGCGCACCTCGTCCGCCAGCGACGTGATCTGGTCCAGCTTCCTCTTGCGGCAGTTCTGCGCAGCCACCTGCGTTTCAAATAGCATTCTTAAGGATCTTTTTTTCATCTATCAGTGAAGCTCCAAGTTCTTCAGTGCGTTAAGAAGAGGGCTATGCTCGAAGTTCCTTTGTGTGATATAATCCGAAATGAGGGGGGAAGGGGGAGAAGAGATTGGTAATGTTGGGGTCTTGGAATCGAATGGCAACCCCACCCGCGCTATCGGTATACACCGACGGGGCACCAATGAGGGATGATAGATGAGGATGAAGCAGGTCAGTTAGTCCATCGTGACGAATTCAACAAGAATTGTTCACGATGGTTTCCAGGGGGAACCACGTGGAGGTCGACTTGATAGCAATGTCGAACTCCATTGCTAATAATCCCTTTCCCCCTAACCCCAATGTTAGCAACACACCCTGTCAGATCGATCTCCTCGCGGTTCCCCCTGGAAACTACCGTGTTCAATTCTAGGTGTATTCATCACGATGGGCTAATTGACCTGCCTTTTCATCCTCACCTATCATCCCTCACTGGTGCCCCGCCAGCGTATACCGATAGCGCAGGCGGAGTTACCATTTCATTATCATCCATAAAAAAACCCCTTTAAAATAAAACACAGCCATGCAAACACAACTGCTTCACGGTAGAAACACGAATAGGACAGAAGTACCCAAGCAAACGACTTTTGTACAAAAATCTCGCTCTGGTAAATAATCTCTCTCAATTTACTTGTAGATTGTATAAAAAATGAAATTACCTTATTCTTCCCCCTCCTCCTGATGTCCCTGATGAGTGACAGTTGCGCTTCGCTCAGGTCGTGCTTCGAGAGCCTCTCGTTGAACTCGTCCATTGGCAAGTTTATTATGTCGTGAACTTCTAGAGGTATACCTGGGGGCAAATAGATGATGCATGACCAATATCGGTATCATTCCAATTTATTGGGTTCGTCTGGGTTATGATCTGATACTGCTTAGCAGTTTGTATTTACACAAATTCATTATTTATATAATTTAAGTTTTCGAAAAAACCCAACAGCAGAGTTTCTTGCCCGTTCTTCTTGGTTGAACTTGCGTTCCGAATAGGCGACAGAGAAAAATGATCGGTTATTTTATAACATTTTTAATTTTTTTTTTTTTATATCAATATAACTTTTTTTTATTTATGAACCGATTGAAATAAAATAAACACTAAATGTTAAGTGGAGCAAATCGTAACGCAACACCGTTTTTGACATTAGCGTGCACAAACGTAAGGACAATCAGACAAAAATTCTATAAATCAATGTTTTAGGTTCTATTACGTTCATAAAGTAACCCTATAATAGTTTTTCTTATATACCTTCCATGTACAGACAGCGACCAGTTACGATTTTACTACATGTATTGTTATTTTTTTCTAATTTATTTTTAATTAACAAAATTCTATTTTTTTTATTTTTTTATACAACTTAGAATGACAAACAAGCTGACGGCCCACCTGATGGAAAGTGGTAACCGTCGCCTATAGACATGAGCAGTACCGTGGACATAACAGAGTATACTGTTCCGCCCATGATACCCCCCATGCGTTGCCATTCCTGAGGACTCAGGTGTTATTCCTCTGTACCCAGTAAATTCACGCCATATCCCACACTTCAAACCGAAACACAGCCATGCAAACACAACTGCTTCACGGTTGAAACACGAATGGAACAGAGGTACACAAGCAAACGACTTTTGTACAAAGTCTCCCTCTGGTAATCTATAAAACATGTTTAAAATTGCGTAAAATAAGAATATAGATGTTTGAACTCACCGAGTGCCTTGGCCCTTTTCTCGTCCCTTGTGAGGTGCTGCCCACTGCTCGTGGCTGACGAGCCGCCGTCCGATATACTTCCGTCGGTCAGTCGGCGGACTATGGGAAGGCAATGTTAAATGTGTTAAAACACACATTAGCGTTACTGCTTAGTTAGTATAAACTATTTTATCTATTTTAACATAATGCCCAATCATCATCTTCCTACCCTTATCCCAATTATTATTTGGGGTCGGCGTAATATGTTTTTAACCATATTACAAAAAGATTTGGTTTCTAGTTTTACGACCGGCCACCTGCCTGACGTCAACCCCCTTTGGGAAATTAATGTCCAATAAAACGTGTAAAATGCTGGCTTAAATTTCTTTATATTTCTTTATTTCCTTACGGTATAGACAGAGAGAACTGAGTGTCTATGGCTTTCCTTACAGACATCTCTTATTTCATAGATTTTGCATACTTAGATACCGGCTTCCAGAGACTGTTAATTTTTGCTTCAGCTAAAATATACCTGGATGGCTGATTTTGTAGGAACCAATTGCGTATTTTTTTTTAGCGGTCATAGACAAAAGTAACTTTTTATTTATTTATTTATAACTTTGTACACGCTGATAATACATACAAATATGAAAGAGGTAAGTAAATGTACAGAGGTGAGCTTAACTCTAAGAGTTCTCTTCCAGCAATACTCAAAGTGGAAAGGAGCATCAATGTCAGCGGGTAGAGCTGTGTACAATATTGTGACAATTTTTAAACAAAAAAGAACTAGACTTAAGTTTATAAATAGCTTATATATATATATATATATATATATATATATATATATATATATATATATATATATATATATATATATATATATATATATATATATATATATATACAGTGATACGCTCTATATAAGCAACTCATTTGAACCAATTTCAATAAAAAAAAGTTTCTTATTGGGAAAACTTGCTTATAGGGGAAAAAAGGAGTATAAAAACTACTTACCGTCTGGAAAATATGTTTACTTATATCTTTTACTAACTAAGCTGAGTAGAATAAATAAAATATAAAAAATATTGCTTATACAGAGGTTGCTTATATAGAGCGTTCACTGTATTTGTACTAATTTAAGCAAATAATGATTAATAACGTGAACGGTGAGTAATATTGGTAAAATGTAGAAAAACATATGAAGCATGACATGCACCCCGGCCTTGTAAAACCCAATCATCGATCAACATGGTCATCTCTTTAGCCGCCCTATGTTGTGTGGGCGACCTCGGGGTATACCCCTCTATCCCGGCTTCAACTCCGGAGGCGACGACCTCCGGGTCGCTGGGTTCTTCAGCCGGCATACACTGGTGGTCTGTGTATGCCGGCGTGGTGTCTTCTTGTAAAACCCACCTCGTTTGTCCCGTACTGCGGCCGGCCGCTGGTCGGCGGGCGCTAGCGGCGCACTGTACGTGTGATTGTGACGCACTCTCTCCGGGGTCGCGTACGCGAAACGGTTCGGGTTCGGTACCGGACTCGGGATTCCGGTCTGTGGGCAAATGTATACAAGTACATAGTAATAATAAGTTATTATTATAATTTCAGCCGTTACCTGTCCACTGCTGGACATAGGCCTTTCCCATAAGAGGACTTTTGCTAGTAGTTGCCACGCTTGGCAGGTGAGTTGGCAAACGCAATTAGACTTTTAGATAAGTTTTAAGAGAGACGCTGATGGCTATCCTTTGCCCTCCCTTAGTCGCCATATTACGGACACCCACGGGAAAAGGAGTGACCCACTCTATACCGGGACCACACGGTGATATAATCATAAATAGTACAGGTTAAGTGATAAATTTTGCCGTGTGGTCCCGGCATAGAATAGGCCACCCCTTCTTTTCCCATAGATGTCGTAAGAGGCGACTAAGGAAGGCCGATGGGTGGGGCAGCAGCGTCCATCTCAAAACATCACCAAAAGCCAAACTGCGGTTGCCAATCGGCCTGCCAAGCGTGGCAACTACTGGCAAAACCCTCCTAGAGGGAGGCTTATGTTCAGCAGTGGACAGTTAAAGGCTGATATGAATTTAGGATGAAACTGGTGAAATGTTATTCTCAAAAGTAGAATATAAAAGTTTCATGTCTAATTCACCAGAGGGAGACTTTGTACAAAAGTCGATTGCTTGTGTACCTCTGTCCCATTCGTGTTTCCACCGTGAAGCAGTTGTTTGCATGGCTGTGTTTCGGTTTGAAGGGTTGAATATGGCGTGAATTTACAGGGTACAGAGGAATAACACCCGAGTACTCAGGAATGGCAACGCATGGGGGGTATCATGGGCGAAACAGTATACTCTGTTATGTCCATGGTACTGCTCATGTCTATAGGCGACGGTTACCACTTTCCTTTAGGTGGTCCATCAGCTTGTTTGCCATTCTAAGTTGTATAAAAAAAAATTACCAATCAAAAATTACTGCACCAATTCAGATGCGATTTTCACAGTTATATTTCTAAAGATTTGACTTAAAAACTGGTATCTACATACACTATTTACAATTTCCGTACAATTGTTATGCCAAAAATACTGACCTGTAGTAATGAGTGGGTCGCGTGCGCAGCGTTGAGGTCCAACGCGGGCTGCAGTGACGTCACGTGCGGTGGCGCCAACTGGTGGCGCGCGCCGAACTCCACTGCAAATAATGTACAATTCTTAGATCATATAGAGTGTCTCCATACAAATGCTGCGAGAAAAACAAGCCAACTTCTTCATACAATTTTATTTGATAAATAACGTAAGAGGCGACTAAGGGAGGACGAGAGATGGGCAGCGGCGTACGTTTTGAAACATATCTAAAAGCCTAACTGCGGTTGCCAATCCACCTGTCAAGTGTGGCAACTATTGGCAAAACTTCCCTTATGGGGAAGGTTTATATCCAGCAGTTGTCCACCGAATAAATAAATATTATTATAATAAAAAAAAATCAATCGAATGGAAAATCCCTTCCTTTTTTGAAATCGGTTAAGGGTACTAACCATTATGCATGTGCATATTGTCGTGATGGTACGCCTGCTCGGGGCATTCGTACTTGACCACGCCTGCAGGGTTGGGCCGAGTCGTCAGAGGTTCTAGGGTTGGCGCTGGTTGCTCCTGGAAACAAAAAAAAAAAATTTTTTTTGGTAAAATTTTTAAATATACCTATCTAGAGAGAGTTTTTACCAGAAACAGACTTTGTACAAAAGTCGTTTGCTTGGCCACCTCTGTCCCATTCGTGTTTCTACCGTGAAGCAGTTGTGTTTGCATGGCTGTGTTTCGGTTTGAAGGGTGGAATATGGCGTAAATTTACAGGGAACAGAGGAATAACACCTGAGTCCTCAGGAATGGCAACGCATGCGGAGTATCATGGGCGAAACAGTATACTCTGTTATGTCCGTGGTACTGCTCATGTCTATAGGCGACGGTTACCACTTTCCATCAGGTGGGACGTCAGCTTATTTGCCATTCTAAGTTGAGTGATAAAAAAAGAGACACTTTGTGAAATAGTTATGTAGGTTTTTTTTAATGTTAGAGAGGCAATCGAGTAGTCGGTCCACCTGGTGGGAAGTGGCTACCGTCGCCCATGATCACTTGCAACACTAGAGGTGCCGCTTGGCGTCGCTGGCCTTTTAAATGATTGCAAGTTGTAATATTGTTAAATTAAAATATCAAATGGAGGCAAACGGATGGACACACACAATGCATTTTATTCATAAATTACCTTTTATTATTATTTTTAATAAGGCATTTCGCGACCGACTCTCGGCCACAGCAGTATATCAGTGTTTCGCTCTTTTGAGGGCGAAGAAATAAATTGAGTTGTGACCATTTTGTGTTACTATGGCACACGCGTGAAAAAAAAGAAATTGTTGTTTTATATATTTTGCTTTTTGTTTCTTTTTTGTTGCTTTTTTTATTTTCATTCTTTTGCCTCTTTTACTGTGTATTATGTGTATGTTTGTATTGTTATTTGTGTGCTGTAACTAATGCAAATAATGCAATCTATCTATCTATCTATCTATCTAGGCACGTTTTTTTTAAATGCCCTATATTATACTGTAGGAAAAAAACTGAAGACCGGAGCTCATTCCACAACGCCGATGAACGCTGTAGATTTATTACAGTCTCATTTGTTTTTACGGTGCTTTAATGATTCCCGAGTATGACAGGCGACGACTGCTCATAATCGAGAACGGTTCGCACGACAAAATTATTAATTCAGTTTCATCAGTAGATGTACATCTTAAGAACGAATTCCAGTGCCGTTCCCGAGTATGACGAGTTGACCACTGGTCATACTCGAGAACGGTTCGTATATAAGGCGTGCGAGTGTACCTGGAAGCAACGTTTCCCGAACATGTGGTGCTTCTTCTGGGGCTGATGTGGCGCCGAGCGGTCCCTACCGTACGCCGCCTCGTATGGCCGGAACTTGGAACTGGGGTTAAACGAAAATAATTCATATTAAAGGCAAAATGAAAATAAGAGACTAAATAAATTTGAAAATGAAGGCAAAATGAAAATATGTGATCTAGAAACTAAGTGGCAATATGCAAAATTAAAATAATTAATAAATAGGGGGGAAAATTAAACCATTATATATAAGAGACTGGGGGCAACATGAAATATATTAATATTTACATAACCAGGAGAGAGCAGGGACTGTAAAGAAGATCATCAACGCATGCGTGGATGGCATGGTGTTCAGCGTACCTGTGAAACTCCTGCGCGGAGTCACTGCCGTCGCACCATTCACCGTCGGAGAGCGATGGCACCCGTTCGGAGCCCATCGACGACACGGCACTGTCCGAGGCAGAGTCGCGCTCTGGAAGGCAACAGTCACAATTAAACATGGCGTCTCATAAAAAAAAATCGATTTCAACTGTGACAAAACCAGTTTTGATTTAAAAACTAAAACACTGCACCGATTTTGATAAAATTTCCACAAGACGAAACTATAAGTATATCCTTTCAGACAAAAAAATAAATTTACAAATCGGTTTACAATTGACCGAGTTATGAGGTGACAAACATACAAAAATAAATACAACCGATTTGAAAATCTCCTTTTTTTTTTAAGTCAATTGATGACAATCATTATCTAATTAGAAACTAGCGATCCGACCCGGCTTCGCACGAGCCGACAGATAGAATGATAAATTTGTTTACACTAATATTACAGTAAAAGATTTAACAAGTAAAGATTTGATTTTTAATGAACCGCGTAAAGTCGGGTCGAGACGTTAGTCTTATTAGCAATAAGACCGTCTCACTGTACTCATACAACTGTATGGTTACATTTATTAATTGCCTTGCTTATTCCCTACATTGTATAATACAAATAAAGTATACCTATTCATTTATTATTAGCTTTAATAAGCAAATTTTTGATACCTCGGGTTAAACTATTCTAATTTCCATAGGGTCTCTAACTTTTTCCCATAATATTATATATAGTATAGGTTGATAATGTACCTTTCTATAGGTGGGAGAATTTTTAGAATCTTCCATGGTGCTATTCGATTATGCACAGGCTTTTTTATTATACAACTTAGAATGGCAAACAAGCTGACGGTCCACCTGATGGAAAGTGGCAACCGTCGCCTATACACATGAGCAGTACCGTGGACATAACAGAGTATACTGTTCCGCCCATGATACCCCCCATGCGTTGCCATTCCTAATAAGTAAATTCACGCCTATCCCATCCTTCAAATCGAAACACAGCCATGCAAACACAACTGCTTCACGGTTGAAACACGAATTGGGAACACGAATTTAATGACCGTGTAATTTTAAATATAGTACATTTGAATAAACACACATAATTTTAACAGTGATTTATCAGGTCGACCTTCACGCGGGTCCTCCTGGAAACCATCATTTATAGTTGAATTCATCACGATGGGCCGACTGACCTCCCTTCATCCTCACCTATCATTTTTCACTGGTGCCCCGCCAGCGTATACCGACAGCGCAGGCGGGGCAACCATTCCATTATCATCCATTAAGCGAACACATTCCGGTAACGCGGACAAAGACGCGTGTAAAAGCTAGTGTATATACATACGTACCTGTCATCATCATGTGCGTGTGGCTCGGGTGGGGCGCGTGGTGCCCGCTGGCGCCGTCCAGCATTCTCATCGTGTACATACCTGCCCACAAAAAACAAAATGATTTACGTCATTTTTTTTTTTGCCACCTACCCACTTCTATCTGTTCTCCTTTAACCAAAGGTTGTCTGTAAGAGATCGCCCCAGCGATGAGACCGCCTTATGTACCTTTATGTGTATATTTCAATCTGTATTTACGTTACTGTATTTCACTTGAATTATTCACTTGTCATTGTATATTTTCGTTTATGGTGCAATAATTGTAAGAAGTAATTTACAGTGGTACCCTGCATTTTGGTTATATTTCATTAATAGAGGGACTGGCTGAAAACCAGCGCTGTGCAGCTGTTCACATTGCGCTGGGACACTCGCAGCATCAGCTGAGCCGGTCCCTTTTGCCTACTATGGTACACTTTTTGTATATGTTATTTATTTATTTATTTATTCATTAGTACAAATATGTGTACATGGCGGACTTAATGCTAAAAGCATTCTCTCCCAGTCAACCATAGGGAAGTGTCAGAATACTCGAATGCGGTACTAGTAATTATTGATATGCATACATACTAAAATTACATATATAAAACGAATAAATATATATAAATAACAAATATACTTACACATATATGACATATACTATATTATACACGAATTTAGGAATAATATAAAGCACTTACTGCTCGGATAAAGATAAAAAGTGAGCGTGAACGCTTTTCTTTGAAAGACGGTATAGTCGGTAGTCTCTTAATGGCATCAGGAAGCGCGTTCCAGAGTCGTGAAGAATGTAGGAGGAAAAGAGTTTGAAGCGTAACCAGTACGGTGAGAGGGGAAAGATAATTGGAGAGTATTATTGGAACGAAGGTTACGTTCGTGAGTTTCAAAAAGATAATGGAATTTACTCCTTAAGTAGTTAGGAGACTGGGGGGTTTCGAAGAAGATTAAATTTTATATTGTAATTGTATGACAATAAACGTTTCTATTCTATTCTAATAGAGTTAAATTAATAAATTTATTTATTTATTTTATTGCACTAGAAACATAATAAATAAATAATTACACACTTGAACAATTCAAGTGAAATACATAACATAATTTAAGTTTTATAATCATACCAGTGGTTACTTATATATATATATATATATATATATATATATATATATATATATATATAATATATATGTCAACATATTTATTATTTCTTAATAGAAACAACTATACTGTTTCCTCCTATTATTGTACGCACACTGCCCGCTGGTAATTAATGCTCCTCTCCACTCAGGGTTTGCTGGAAGAGAACTCTTACAGAGTTAAGCTCGCCTGTTGTACATCTTTATTTTATATATATATATATATATATATATATATATATATATATATATATATATATATATATATATATATTTTTTTTTTTTTATGAGTGAAAATGGAATGGTAACCCCGCCTGCGCTAACGGGGTACCTTAGACGCCCCTAGGCCTATATTCAGCAATGAATATTTAACCACTTTTATTTTTATTTATTTATTCTTTATTGTACACAAAAAATTACAACATATAATATATATAAAATTTGGGGGGAAAGGGATTGTTAGTAATGGAGACTGAAAATCCCATTGCTAGCAATATACCCAAACAGGTCGACGACCTCGCGGTTCCCCGTGGAAACTATCATGGTTAATTCCTGATGAATTCATCATGATGGCCTAACTGACCTGTTTTCATTCTCACCTATCACCCTTCACTGGTGCTCCGCCAGCGTATCCCGTTAGCGCAAGCGGAGTTACCATACCTATTTTCACCCATAAAAAAAAAGTACCGTTCATGTTAATAGGCGACGGTTACCACTCCCCATCAGCTGTGCTATTCGCGTCGCTTAAAACATAGAACCCTCTTTTGGGCGAGTCGGCTACAATGCTACAAATGATATGCAAGTCCGTTATCAACAAGCGAGTAATCAAACACAACAGTTGGCTTATCAGTGATAAGGCCAATATTTCTGTACTATGTAAGTATGTATGCATGAGTCGACAATATAAATGTGATTTTATTATTTTATAAAACACTACAACAACGTCTTCATAATATATCAAACAGTTTATAATTACTCCTCTCCATCCAAAGGTTGGCTGCAAGAGATCGCTCTTAGCGATAAGGTCGCCCATTGTTTTCTCACTGTGATTGTTTCTTGTAATTGTTTATATCTATAATAAGTTTACTATTGTAATCTTATGGAGGAAACAATAAAGAGTATCTATCTATCTATATATATATTTACCCTATATTCATCAATACTTCAAACCGCTCACAAACCATGTTGTCAAAAACCACCTTGTTTGCCATTCTAAGTTGTATAAAAAAAAAAAACCAATCATGGCGCGAGCGAGGTTACCGTTCGATCGAGAAAAATTTTTAAAAGTAAATATTTTCACCGTAACTTCACAATACATATACGCAAACATTTTATATATACGTAGGAATTTTTCTTTTTTTTTATACAACTTAGAATGGCAAACAAGCTGACGGCCCCACCTAATGGAAAGTGGTAACCGTCGCCTATAGACATGAGCAGTACCGTGGACATAACAGAGTATACTATTTCGCCCATGATACCCCCCATGCGTTGCCATTCCTGAGGACTCAAGTGTTATTCCTCTGTACCATGTAAATTCACGCCATATCCCACCCTTCAAACCGAAACACAGCCATGCAAACACAACTGCTTCACGGTAGAAACACGAATGGGACAGAGGTACACAAGCAAACGACTTTTGTACAAAGTCTCCCTCTGGTAAATCTTCAACTGTTTTTTTAAAAACAGCGATCTGAATCATCTCAACACTAGATACAAATACAAACTTGCTGTTCCGAAATATCGTTCAGAAAAAGTTAACAGGTCTTTTATGGGAATGGGCATTAAATGTTACAATAAGATACCGAAGGATATTTAGGATCTGTTTTTTAATAAATTTAAAACTGTTATTAAAAAAAAAAACACTTATTGAACAAAGCCTATTACACGCTAAACGATTACTCGAATGACAGACGTGCACGGTGTTAGTGGATCATGCGCGGGCTTTTAACGACCATGTAATTTTAGACATAGTACGTTTAAATAAACACACATAATGTTAACAGAGATTTAAAAGAGTAACTGTCGAGTTTCTCGCGGGCTCTTCACAACAGATAACAAGCTTTCGAAGCCTGCAGTAGATTTATAAAAAAATGACGATTTAAAAGTGCTTGTAAACAAGTCTATTTGAATAAAGTTCATTTAAATTTGAATTGCTATCCGTAGTTATTATGTTATATATATACATATATATATATATATATATATATATATATATATATATATATATATATATATATATATATATATATATATATATATATATATATATATATATATATATATATATATATATATATATGAGAGCTCGATTGTCTGTACATAGGAAAAAAAAACCGCTAAAAACCGAGTCAGTGAGATGTTTGTTTCAAATTTTCTGTTCCTCTGCCTATTTGTTTGTACGGGCTAATTTCCGAAACTGTTGGACCGATTTAAATGAAATTTTGCATGGTGGTAACTTACATCCCCGGTCAACATTTTAGATACTTTTAATCACGGAGAATTAAACGGTTCCCGGGGGATAGTTAAAAAACTATAGTAACTTGTACAGCTTGGTACACAACCTACTTAAGTAAAGAGCATTTCGAGCTAAGGCAAAGAGTGAGAACGACACGTCATTTGTTAATTTGCATCCAGTATTCACAGACATAATAAACAGGAATAGCAAATACCACGCGGACCATGTCGCGGACATAAAATAGTCATATATATTTATAATTTAATAAAAAAAATATAGGTATTTAACTCTTGACCTTTTAAAAATGACAAATTACTATCAGTCACTATTACGCTGTTTCACAATGAGACCGCATATTTTAATCTTTCTAATATAATAAAAATACTTGTGGTCTCGGCATAGAATGGGCCATCCCTTCGTTTCCCGTGGGTATCGTAAGAGACGACTAAGGGAGGGCGAGGGATGGGCAGCAGCGTCCCTCTTAAAACATCTCCAAAGCCAACCCGTATATGATGATATGGCAGTGGCGGCCTCTTACGGGCAAACGCAATGTAGAACAATCCACTCTCCGCTAGATGGAGTAACTCAAACGCATTGCAGGGAGTCAGTGGATGCAGGTGGCTCGGGACCGTTCTTTATGGCAGTCTATGCGGGAGGGTTATGTCCAGCAGTGGACGGATAATGGCTGAGATGATGAGGTATTGAGACTGAGCACTGTAGGTCTCAGGAATGGCGAAGAATTAGGGATACTGTGGGCGTTATGTTATTTTTTTTTTATACAACTTGGCATGGCAAATAAGCTGACGGCCCACCTGATGGAAAGTGGTAACTGTCGCCTATAGACATGAGCAGAGTATATATACCGTTTCGCCCATGATACCTCCCATGCGTTGCCATTCCTGAGGACTCAGGTGTTATTCCTCTGTACCCAGTAAATTCACGCCATATCCCACCCTTCAAACTGAAACACAGCCATGCAAACACAACTGCTTCACGGTTGTAACATGAATGGGACAGAGGTACCCAAGCAATCGACTTTTGTACAAAATCTCCCTCTGGTATATGCCATAATGTCCAAGTCTATAGGCGACAGTCACTATTTTCCTTTAGGTGAGCTGTTAATTCGGTTACCTTTCCAAGTGGTATAAAAAAAAAAGTATAACAGAAATAGCGGTAGCTGTCAAAACTTATAAGTAGTAGTTTTAATTTATTCACAATGGAAAAGGCACAGGAACTAAACTATACAGCTTGAACTTTATTAGCAAAATTTACATGTCGCAATTTTTTTGATCTTGTTGTTTATGAAATGTCTTGTTTATTTATAGATTAAGTACTTTTTATTGTCTCGTGTCTATGATGATTAGGTACAATTTTAAGAAATATAAACGTACATAGACGATCATTACAATTATGAGGTGTTATAAAAGTTTTTAAAAAGTTAATGTCATTTCCTCTGCGTTCTAAAAAACAAGAGAAATACTAAACGAATATGAACCCTATTTTTACGAGCAAAAGTATAGTTTTTCGTTACTCATAACGTATTCGTAGCATTTGCCAAAGAGTAGACGTAATACTGTTATTTTGTCATTAGAATCTCACTCACCATCATAAAGTTTGTAGTAAGAAGACAAATATTCACCGGGGTCCGGATATATTAGGTGACTGGCTACGTAAGGCATATGATAATATGGCGGATATGGGTAGCCCACAGTCAGATCCATGATTTAAATCCAATAATATCACATCAATCCTATATACATTTATTCTTTTTATATATCCATACGCTCACATATAACATATACTATCACTGTATATCATTATTTTGCACATAACAGGCGTACTTTGGTTTCACTATCTATGTAAAACTGACGTAGAACATCAGCAGATAGATTTTATTTACACCGATAATTTTCTGTTAATCTTTATCGTTATCTGCGTTGTGGAGGAAAAACAATACGTATTCTTTATCTATTAAATTCGTTCTCCATTCGAATTTCAAATATTCATGTGTGTGTACATTTATTTATCAGAATTCCATAGTTGTTTTAAAATAGGTATAAGCTGCCAGTATTTTTTGTAAACTCTTAAGAAATCTGAAACTACGTTGTCTCTGGTTCTGTTAAATGAAAATGTTTCTTTTTTCTAGTAGAGTACTTAGCATTAGTGACTGAACTTCTGTAAGTAGTTAGATAATATTGGTGGATTTTTTTCTTCAATTATTATTATATGACGTTTTCAAAGAATCTCTAAACTCCACTTATTATCCAGTAAGTTCTTTTCTATAATCTTATTTGTCTATGTTCTGTTTTAACTTTTAAATCAGCATATTCTCTCGAACTAATCTCATTGGGAAAATTCTATGACGTTTTGTAAACAAAAGTAAAGTATATACAAATATATCTTCCGACGCAAGACTTGTTAATGCCTCTCCAAACAGTCGCATGACTTTCCTCTGCAAGGGTATTTTGTATCACGCATTTATTATTCACAAGATTAAGTAAGTCCCTTTGCCTTGTTTCGGTCAGCGGTCAAAGAAAAGTTTATATTTAAATGACCAGAGACAATAGTTATATCTTTTTAACACTTCGACCGGTACTTTGGTCAAGGAGTCACAACTCGTCTTGGGCCGTCGTAGGGCGCAGCAGAATCTACATAAGCAAATACAGCAGTCTCTATTGTGCACCTTTCTACTCTTCGAAGTACGTTTATTCAGGAAGTATGGCATATGTAGGCTTTTATTTTTCGTCCAAGTTATAATCTCAAATGTTACCGTCACAGATAGTCCAATACTTTTTATGCACAGTCTTTTTAATGTCCAACACAACACTTATCGAGAATTTCAGCTATAAATGAATGACAAATGTTAGTACGAATGCTTCTATCTGCTTAGAAAATATCACATCGAAATTTTCTGCATTACAAACAATCTATAGACGTAAGAAAAAATTCCCATGTTGAAAAAATAAACCAATTAACTATTCTTTATTTGAAAAATTAAAAATATTTCTCAATTGCACTAATATTTGAATAAAATACGACAATTAAATTTCGAACTTCGCATTAAACGCGGGAAATGTTGTCAAAATGGCGCGTGAAAAACAAATGATAGCTGCCACGCTGTAATCATGCAATAAATGGAGGTACAGAGCAAATAAGTATTTATCTATTATTAACTAAATATGGTTGTTATTGACTTTCTAAATGGCAGCTGTTGCAAACAAGATGTGCCAATATTAGTTTAAATATCTTGCGTGAACTAGTTTCTTTTAAAATATCAAAGAATAATTACGTATTTATTAAATTAGTAACATTTACTTCGACAGAGTATTTCTATAAAAATGCTGAAATAAATTTTGCCAACTATTTTCTTCAAGATGGCGTACTTTTATAGTTACATTTTAATTGGTGAGTTTTATCAAGTCATTTAATCTTGTTACAATTACTACATTATCATATTTTCAGACTTTTGTATATTCCGGTATAAGCAATAAAAAATTTAAATGCTCAGTTTACAAAAATGCATGGCCAACAGGTAGTGGACCGTTTATGGGACCTATTATAGCAGTTGATACTTCATCTAAGATGTTATTGGTAAGAAATATATATACATTTGCAATAGATAATAATAATAATAATAAAAAAACTGCGATTAGCCTGAACAGTTTCTTTTAAAATAATTAAAGTTATTATTTATATTGCTTATCTGCTTTTGTAAAATTGAGGCCGTGGGTTTGAATTCCAGAAGAGGCAATTTAAATATATATTATTCTGAAAGACAAAGCCTTGAATTATAGAGTTTAGAAAAAATATTAAACAGAGTATTCACTGTTATTTTCCTTGTTTTGAACACCGCAAACATCATTTTATAACATAAAATGGAGTCATTCATTTAGTTTAAAAAAATAGTACTAACATTTTTTATATTTAAAATTTTGAAATTAGAACATAGACAACAACGATGCCCGATAAGTACTTAAATCGCCGACACATCTGGCATTCGATATTTAATAATTCAAAATGGGAACATACACTTGTTGAGCAAATTGAAGTAGATAGAACCAATCGTAGTTCGAAATTTGAATTCGAAGTGGGTCGTCCATGTTGAGACGTCCGCGCGATGGCAGCACTAGGTTTGACTAATGGAATCTGTTATTTGCATGTGACGTCATCGGGGTCAAGCGCACACTGATAATGTATGTGAAAATATTGTAAACAAATACGATACGGTTGGAATTTGTAAAAAGTGATTTGCTGTCATCATTCGTTTTTCTGCAAATAAATTAACTGTCACTTTAGAACGTCAGCATAAGAAGTAGTTTTAATTTTGTTTTTATAGATAAATACTTCGGTGCTTTGAAAAACAATTCAAACAAAAAGAATCTATTAATTTATTCTTTTTTGAAAATCTTTCTGGTATTTGTATTTTTTTTGGATATAGATATAATTCTCTCGTTTTTCCAATAATGAACATTTGTTTAACGTCAAGCGTCTTCTAATATGTAAAAATGGTATGGTATAAATTTGATATACTTAATTAATGCTACGCAATATATATAAGTAACTAGTGTAGTAACCCGTGACTTCATCTAGAAATAAATAGCCAATGTTTTTCTCTATTCCAAATACTATGTAAGGGTAATAAAACTTAAGTTTTTAGGAAACGCAACGTTGGGTGTAAAATCACATCCCTATTGGTGGACTACCAGCTTGCCAGCTTGCAATTCCAAATTTTCATTTTGATACGAGTGTGAATCATTCCATACAATAGATTACACTATAAATAAGGACTCATAGGTATCTGACTATATCTATGCCATTCGACACGATAACAAATTGGACTGGCTGAAAAAAAATTTGTCAAAATTTAATTTGAATTTAGAACAGTACTCACACAGTGACCTTGTAATGGGGCAATCCGATTGCGCTAAATAAACTTTGAATATTAGCTACTCATTACGTCACATGTTCTATTTTTAAAGTGCGATTAAAAAATTTTTGTCTCTGTAACGAGTATCAAAGAGGCAGTTACAAAGCAGTATGTTATCAGTTTGTTTAATTTAGTATGTCTGTGTACGTGATAGTGAAAATTAAGATGGCGCATGTCGCCGCTTTTGCCGTTTCACGGGTAACGTCTTTGATAATGCGATTTATGTAACGACCTAACGAATTATTAACAATTCCAACATATTTTTGATTTAGTATTTCTTTAATAAAAAATAAATAATATAATTAAATAAAAAAAAATACATATTTAAGTACCACACCTTTTTTTATTCCTTCCTATTCCTGTAGAATTAGTAAATAATCTTGGGATTATAGAAATAACTAAACCAAAAGGGTTTTCTATTGGTGCCTAAGAAGTAACATTTATGTTAATGCGTTCAGTGCATTAAGAAAGTAGGTAGTTTATTCAATAGCTAATTTTGTACTGCATGTATTAGATTAACATGTAGTTTCACTATTTTTGTATTAATTTTGTTAACCTCGTTGCATCAATCAGTCCCGGAACAGTCGTATATAAATTTTCAACCGACTTTAAAAAGAAGATTCCTAATTTGGTTGTTTTTTGTATATTTGCTACCTCATAATTCCATCAGTTCTAAACTGATTTGGAATTCTTTTTTTATCTGAAAGTTTTATCATAATAAATGGTTTTGTCACAATTGAAGTCGGTTTTCTTTGTGGGAGACAATCTTTAATACGATAGTTGGTCACAATTAGGAATTTATTTAAAAAAGAATTAGACATAGTCGATAGCCAATAATGTTTTTTTATGCAATTTAGAATAGCAAACAAGCTGAGAGCCCACCTGATGGTAAATGGTCACTGCCGGCTTTAGCCATACACATTTTTTTGTGATTATTGTAATTCATCAGGTTAACATATCGTAAACGGTAAGATTATTACTCACCCTCGTTCATGGCCATATCCATTAGCTGTAGATCCTCATCGTTCAGGATCGACTGTAGGAATCCATCCTGGTTGGCCGGTGGCGCCATCTCGCTCGAGTTCTAAACAACATTATGTTATTAATATTTTACCAACGTTATGTTGGCAAAATATTGCGTCTAAAACATATTTTATCTGTTCAAACATTAAAATTTATGCAAAACATTTGGTAGACGGTAAACAGAATGTTTGTCTCAATAGTAGGCATAGAAATGTATTATGAACAAAGAAAAAAATCAAAATAACAGTCGTAGTTACTGTTTAATCATAAAAAAAGTAATTTTTACTAATTAGAAATATTTTTCGATTAGTATATTATTCATAAAAACAAACTCAGGATATGATCGCATTACAGGGAGACAGTGGATGCAAGTGGCTCGGGATCGTTCTTTATGGAAAACTGTGGGGAAGGCTTATTTACAGCAGTGGACAGATATCAGCTGTTATGACGAATGATTATTTTTCATGAAAATTTTGCGGTTCGTTAGTTAGAAAGGGACAGGCATCGCCTTAAGAAATAAACAATAGTGTGGACGTCACAGAGTATACTGTGACGCTCTTAGTGACCTTAATGCTTTGATATTCCTGAGGACTCAGATGTTATACCTCCGTATCCTGTAATCTCACTGTCATCCCTTCAAACCAAAACAACCATACAAGAACAGCTGCTCGAAGAGAAGCTGTCCACTGCTGAACATAGATCTCCCCCACAAGGTTTTGCCAGTAGTTGCCACGCTGAGACACTGCAGGATAAGCCTTAGTGATGTTTTAAGAGGGGTTCTGCTGCTCATCCCTCAACTATCAAGTTCCCTTGGTCGTTTCTTACGACATCTATGGGAAAGGAAGGGGTGGCCTATTCTATGCTGGGACCACACGGCAATTTTTATGTATAATATGTAGGTATTTACGAATAAAAGTATCAATTATGTAGTCGAATTATAAAAAAAGTGATGACTTAAAAGAGCTTGTAAACAAGTTCAATTGAATAAAGACGATTTCTATTTTATAGTAAAAGTTCTGCTGAGTTTGGAATTAGATGGCGCTGATTTAATACAGGTATGCTTAAAAATACTATTAGCATTGCATATTATGTCTAGAACGCTTTGTGATTTATTTTTATTTATTTATTTCTTTGTTTCCATGTCCTTACAAGATACATCCCAATTCTACATAGTACAACAAAAAACAACGATTAGATTTGAAAATAACAAATTGTAAACATTTTGGCCCTTGTGGATTCCCACAGAGATAATATAAAGAGATCAGTATCTCCATTCGAAATATTATTTAATAAAACATGTGCTCTAATGAAAGGTACGGATAAAGCAAATTTGTTGTAACCTTAGGTATGGCAAATAACACGTGACGTCTAGCACGAATATATTTGTTTGGCACAAAAACATTTACGTCAGTCAAATATGACAGAATGTTCGATATTTCCCCTTAAAACCTTAAAGACGTATGTGAAGATCCTTAAGTCACTCTTCGCCTCCAGTGTATGGAATGAGCAATATCGAGGTTTTCTAAGAGATTACAGCATGGGGTTTTTCAAAAAACGAGTAGGGAGGTTTCTTCAGGGTCGGCATCGCGCGTGAATTGCCGCTGGTATTGCAAACGTTAAAAACAGAGTAGGGATATGTCAAGGGGGAAAAAGATGGATACCGTACTGCTTAAAATACAAATATTTAATAAGTTCTGTATTTTTTCTAACATTCAACAATATTTATTATATGTTGTAAATAATCATGAGACACCTGCCATTAGCAGATGTATAGAGTTTATTCCTCGCTATAGCATTTTAGAGATATTTAACCGTTTCGATATTTTGAAGATTATTCGCTTGCCGTAACACAAAATCTAGATAGTGAAATGATATGAAATAATTTGCAAACATACCTGATAATATATCCCATCATGCTGTTGCGGATGATGCGCAGACTCGACCTTGTACGCGCCTTCCAAAGGCGCCGCTGCGCCGGCTGTTCAAACAATACATTATTTGTTAATTCATTATACAAAAACATTAGAAATCCGTACTAATATTGTAAATGTGAAAGTGAGTTTGTTTGTTTCGAGCAATCACTATGAAATTCAGTATACACATACTATATGGGATGATAAAGGATACGTTTTAACTATAGACGAAGTCGCGGGTAAAAGCTAGCACCTTAAGAAACCGCCGAACTGAGATAATTAAATTTTGTAAATGTGTATAGTTTACTCCATATTTAGAGATAGGATTAAGCATGGATAATATCGTTGTACTGCCGTATGGTCCCAGCACAGAACGGGCCACTACCTTACGACACTTATGGAAAAGGTCTTCCTATCCCATGGGTGTCCTTTTCATGCATTCACATTACACATTTATAATATTATGTAGAATACCATAACCTAATATAGTTTTTTTTTATTTATTAACACTTTATTGTATTAATATGCCTTACCATAAGCATCAGGATGTTTTTCCGGCACTGGCGGTATGGGAGTGTGGTAATTTGGCGCGTACCCGCCAGCAGCACCATGCCCACTGTAAAATAATAATTTTATTACCGTAACAGCTTATCAATATCTTACTATTGGTCAAGGATCATAAGAAAAGTTTAGCTAGTATGCTAAGTTACATTAGTAAGTAGAGTTGAAAGATGAAATTAAATCCCGACGGTAATATTCTGTAGGTGCTTCGGAGCTTCAGCACCCACGAGATATATATAGAGAAATAGTAGGTGCGGAGCACCCGTGCCGATAGACATGATAACATAAATAAAAAAAAGTCCTCATCTTATTATCTGTTGTTACGATCGCGCTTGCTTATCCAGCAAGCAGTGTCCGCCTTTCAGCCGAAATAATGATGATGTACCTAGTTATCAAAAGGGCGTGAGTACCCATGAGGTATTTTAGAATCCCGCGTCCTGGATGTTTATGATTTTGATTTCACTAAATAGTAATAAAGAGAACTGGAAAAACCTGGAACACACTAACTACCAACAAACAAGAATGGTTTTTTTTTTATACAACTTAGAATCGCAAACAAGCTGACGGCCCACCTGATGGGAAGTGGTAACCGTCGCCTATAGACATGAGCAGTACCATGGACATAACAGAGTATACTGTTTCGCCCATGATACCCTCCATGCATTGCCATTCCTGAGGACTCAGGTGTTATTCCTCTGTACCCAGTAAATTCACAAAGTAAATAAGAACAGTAAATAAGACCTTGGTCCACCAATGGGATCCTTTATGATACGAACTTATTGAAAATGTTTTTGTTTGTCCATATATAAATTTAATGTATAATTAGGCTGTAAATAAACAAATGAATGGTAACAATAACTTACCTAATGTTGTGGGGGTGCTGATGGTGATGGTGGTAGTGCTGGTACTGGTCCGGTGGAGGCGGGATGGTCAGCAACGAGGCCAGGTCCTGCCACCGCTGCTCGACAGACATAGAGCGCATTAGAGACTGGAAAGAATCATACCAGTTTATTAGGATACGATAAACGCCATAAAAGAAATCGGACCGTTGAATTTCACACGTTATTGAAAGTTTATGATCACACGACTTTTTTGGAAGAAAACAATTTTATTTAAATACACTTATTTATAGTCGGGTTTACCGTATGCCCTGCATAGAATGGACTACCCTTTCATTCTCGTGGGTGTCTAAGGGGCGCCTAAGGGAACTTAATGGTCGAAGGATAGGGAGCAGCGTACGTATTTCCATCAGATGGGCCGATAGTTTGTTTGCCATTCTATGGTGCATAAAAAAAAATAAACGTTTACTACAGTTTGTAAACGACCAAAAGAGCTTTTGATTTCTCATAATTTAAGTGTTAATGAGAAATAAACACATAAAAATAAAATGTTGTCGCTATAATGATACCTATTCATTTTCACTATATATCCTTTTTGTTTTTATTGTTATTTTTAATAAAATATATAGATATAGTTAAATAATTAATTAATTAGGTACGCTCGTTCAAGGTTATAACGTGTAGAAATTAGTTCCGCTACTGCACGCAACGGCGCTAATAACTTTAGTAATGATTTATCAAAATAGATGGCGCCGCACGGAATAATTGTTTTGTCTTTCCTATTAAACATTTTTGTCGTGAAATTAATAAATCATTTTTAACTATGTAAATTAACGTTTACGCAAACTGTAATATTTTTAAAGTAATATCTAATACAAGAAATTATTCTTCGCTGTGAGCCGTTGTAGCCAGAGAAAGCCTATACGTAATCTAATTTGACCAATGCTGTTTAACAAAATATTTGATTAAAATTTTTGATGGTAGCAGCGAAAAATCGCGGATACCTGACGAGAATCGTGTATCGATCGTAAAATTTGGAATTCCGTCCACATTTTACCGTTAAATATGCTTTTATTGTTTGTCAAATTAATATTTGTTGAGGAAAGCCGCCATGTTTACGATTTCGCGGCAATATTCGAAAGCAACTTAGTCTATGGTACTACAGGCCGATGATACACCGTCACAGATTTATTTACATTGCAAATATTTATGTTTATGAAAAGAAAGTACGTACAATTCTATTAATTATTATTAGTTGGTTAGTTTTTTTTTTTTATTTTAAATTATTTTTTAATCGACTTTAAAAGGAGATCCACAATGTTACTAATATAATAAAATTGTAACTATACAATGTCTGTACATGGGAGATATTAAAAAAAAAAAAAAATAGGGGTCTTATCAAGATCAATAGAAAGCAAGACAATATTTTTAAGACAATTTGCGTCTGAATGTTTGTTCTGGCATTATGCAAAACCTACTGTACCAAATTAATTTCGGTTTTGGCGACTGTATTCCTGCAGGTCTAACTTAAAATTTGGTATAAATTTTATCTTGAAACGCCATCTAGAGGTAGTAGGTATATTTTATTGATTTTCATATTTCTTGAATCCACGCAGACAAAATTAGCGGGAAAAGGACAAAAATTATGAAGACATATTTGTCGACAGATAGATAGATAGATAATTTATTTGCATTACTTACAGCACACAAATTCTAATAAATACATAAAAACGAGATAACATAAATGATTAAAAAAAAAAATACATAAAGCCAAGCACAATTTTCTTTTGTGCGTGCGCCATAGCAATACAAAATGGCCACAACTCAGTTTATTGCTTCGCCCTCAAAAGAGCAAAGCACTGATATTCTGTTGCGGCCAAAGGGAATAGGGTAACAATAAAACGATAATTCTGAACTGACTCCGGTAACCATTTTAGCAATCGATAGTGTTCACTCTCGTATTGCTAACTGCGGTTGCCAAGCGTGGCAACTACTGGCATAACCCTCCAATACGGGGAGGTTAGCGGAAATGGATTGTTAGTAATCGGGTCAAATACCCTTATTACTACCAATACACCCTGTCAGGTCGACCTCCACGTGGTTCCCCCTGGAAACCGTCGTGGCTAATTCTAGTTGAAATCGTCAGGATGGGCTAACTGACCTGATTTCATCCTCACCTGTCATCTAACACGATGCCTCGCCAGTGTATACCGATAGCGCAGGCGGGGTTGCCATACCATTGTCACCCATTAAAAAAAATACTGGAAGGTCTATGCCCACAGCGAACAATTAACGTCAGACGTGGTATGATAATCAGTTTGTAATGTATTATTAAATAAAGTAGAGTTGAAAACGTATCGATGTAACGAGAGAAAGGCCTTCGAACCAATAAAATCGAATATCATACAATTAACGAGTGAAAGTGTTGCCACATTATCAATAAGAATTGACATAGACGCATACAAAAAAAAATAGGTTAAACACTTGTGGACATAACAGAGTATACTGTTTCGCCCATGCACCTGAGTCCTCAGGAATGGCAACGCATTGGGGGTATCCCTATGCGTTGCGATTCCTGAAGACTCGCAACAATGCGGGCGGGGTTATCATTCCATTTTCACCCTTTAAAAAAAAAACACAAATATTTATTTATTTACACATACACTGAGCAAACTTTTCACTTATGTAATTGTATCATTTATTTGATACACTCTCTTTCATAAGAAAAAATGTAAATTATACATGTTTTTTACCAATTTGTCATTTATTCACCAGAGGGAAACTTTGTACAAAAGTCCTTTGCTTGGCCACCTCTGTCCCATTCGTGTTTCTACCGCGAAGCAGTTGTGTTTGCATGGCTGTGTTTCGGTTTGAAGGGTGCGATATGTCGTGAATTTACTGGGTACAGAGGAATAACACCCGAGTCCTCAGAAACGGTAACTCATGGGGTGTATCATGGGCGAAACAGTATACTCTGTTATATCTTTTATCCAAGTCTTTAATGCAACGATAGCCGCTTTCTAACGGACGGGTAGTCGAATTGTTCACCGTCGCCAATCTTACTCGTGGTTGGATAAAAAAAATCGGTCAAATCACAAGTGCTTAATGCAATTTAGTTACGTTTTTTAAGACAAACAGCCTACACCACTTGTGCGAGTTATGTAAACACTCCAAATAACCGTTTTAACTTCAGTGAAAACCAACGGTCGCATGTTGGCACAACACTTGTAGAGCGACGCACACACTGTCAACAAATCGTGTCTATGGTCCCGCGTACGTGTTTGGCCCATTTGTGTACGGCCTATGTTTGGTTACTGGCACGCGAGCGGAATAAGAGTGTTCTAAGTTTAAAATTTCGAATTTGTGGAAACAAATATTTAAGTTCGAGTTCCATGTTCAAATATCGTAAGCACGCGAAAACGGCTTCCGTTTTAAGTTAGGGTTGTGCCAGGAAGAATAAATAAAAAAACTCATTAGTATTTTTTTTCATAATGTCATTACAGGGCTAAGAAACGTTAAGTGACAATTTTAACATTAAAATCTAGCTACATTCATAAATATCTACTAAATAATTATTTATCTATAATTATATATAATTAACTTTTTAGTTCCCTAAACAGAAATCTTCAATGTATCTCTTATACTTTAACAGTTTTCGACAACCCTACAATCACTAGACAGATACGAGAAAAACAAATAACGTCGATCAACTGAAAAAGAATTTAATACGAAATTCATTGATTGTTGAATGTTTGTTACTCTTTTACGCAAAAACTATTGAACTGTTTTAAATGAAATTCGATACACGAGTAGGTTTAATCCTAATTTACAACCTACGATATTTCAAATAAGTGTTTCCATAGCGACTACAGTATGGGATTCTTCAAAAAGGGCATATTATAGTTTCTTTAGGGTTGGCAACGCGCACGTGACATCCCTTTTTTTTCCTTTTTTTTTTAACGTGAGGAAATCTTCCAAGGACCTTCTCAACTGCCGGAGGGAAAGCAGAGGGGGTGTGTGGGATTTTTATCCACTAAAACCTCACGACGTATCTCGGGGCACGTGACACCCCTAGTGTTGCAGGCGCCCATAGACTACAGTGACCGTTCACAATTAGACGAGCTATCCTCGTGGTAAAAAAAAATTCACGTGAGCGAAGCCGCGGGACACAGCTAGTAGTTAATACATTTAAAACACTTTATACCTTCTTATATAATGAAAATTTACATTTTAAAACATTTTTTTTATACCACTGAGGTGGCAAGCGAGTATACGGCCCACCGGATGGTAAACGGTTACCGTAGCCTATAAACGGCTGCAATACCAGGGGCCTTACGCGCGCGTTGCCGACCCTGAAGAAACCTCTGTACCTCTTTTTTAGAGAACATTATGAGTTAATTTATCACAAATTAACACAAATTTTCTTCCTCTTTAACTATTAATGAAATGAAAAAAAAATATGTTTTTAATGTTTTTGACAATATTTTATCGATGTCGAAGCAGCCATGTTTGCATGGCTGTTTCGGTTTGAAGGGTGGGATATAGCGTGAATTTACATGGTAGAGAGGAATAACACGTGAGTCCTCAAGAATGGCAACGCATGGGGGGTAACAATGGTAACAAGGGCGAAATAATAGAAAAAAAAACCGTTAACGTGAACGAAATCGCGGGTAAAAACTAATTCTTTAATCAAATTTTAACGTACACAAAAATACATTTGAATTTAGAACACTTTATTTTTTTTTTAGTAATTCGCATGGGACCCAAGACTGTACCCTGCGGTACACCAGCGTAAATCCAAAGTTATTTCCTTGCGAGACACAAATTAATACGTGGCAAGTACCCCGCGACCTTGGAAATGTCTCAAGGTGTCATTAAATTACATAGAATCGTAATGGTGTATGGTATGTAATTTACCGCACGCAAGATGGTGGGTTACCTATGTAAGTATGTATGTATAATTGATCACACGTGCTCTAAACGGATATATTGTCGCCTATGTTATTCTATTAAACCATAGATCTATGGAGATGCTAGCTCAGCCTGTGGCATTGCACAATCATAATTTTTTTTATTGCACCAACATTACAGGATTTGTTAAACATAGGATAGGTAGTGGGATTTAACTAGGTTTTTAAAAATATGTTCT